TTGGATGGTAGCTTGCTAAAGAATTAAAAATAATATTGATAAGAAAGTTTATAATGATACAATGAAAATAAAAATCCTGTAAAAAGCATCAATCATCAAATAACACATTGTCCCCCGTATTCCTTGACACCTAGTACAATTGAAAATAAATTTTTTTGTAAGTTCAATTTTGTTATATGAATGTATAAAGGCACTGATTTCAATAATGCTAAATGCATATTCTTTACATTTTACATGTGCAATAAATTTTCTAGTTTGATTATATTTAAAGTCCTTTTATAAATGCATGATATATAATAAAATCACATGTATCTAATAAAAATTTAGAATGATAATAATTCTTATTCATAAAAATCATATCTAAAAAGACTATATTTATTATATTATATTATTGATCAAAAGATTATATTATTATTTATTAATCACAAGATTATATTATAAAAATTCTAGTTATTTATTTATAAAAATACTATATAAAAATTATTCATGAACTATTATTCTAATTATTATAATAATATTTATAAATCAGTTTTTTTACTTCTTATTCTATTATTTATTATTAATACCAAAGTCACTCTAATAGCTAGTTGAAAATATGAATTTTATTTTTATATTTATAATAATAAAAAAATCCATGAAGAATATATAAAATAAATCAAATAAAAGTAATAAGTTATAATTAATAAATTAATAATTATCTGAATTTTCTAATCAAAAAAGTAATAATTACAAAACAAAATATTATAAATTTATTTTCTTTTTATAACTTAAGTTAGTTCTTAAGAAATTTATACTTATTTATTAAAGAATAAATAATTTTAAGCAATATTATATTAATTAAAAAGACTGGATTATTAATAAAAAATTTGAATATTTTTAAGTATAATCTTTTTGTTACATAGTATAAATTATCAGGAAGTTTATATAAAATTTAAGATAATTACAAAATAATTAATTTAGAATTCACATAGAAAACTAAGTTAAAGATAAATAGAATATTATTATTAAACTTAAACTTTATTAGAATTACAAATTATTAAAAATATAAAATAGAAATAATATCTTTAAATAAATAATAATATAAATACTTATATAATAATATCTTTAAAAGATAATTATTAATATATAAATAAAGTAATAAAATATTATAAATAATAAATAGAAAAAAATAGTATTTTAATAAAATAAGAGATAATAGAATTTCTATAAAGAATATCTTCTAAAACAAAAATAACTCAAGTAATTATATAATTATTCTTGGTATAATTAAATAATTATAGTATAATAAATTATATATAATATACTAATATGATATAATATAATCTATAAACTAATAATTAATTTTATTATATATCTTTTCTCTTAAGAATTAATATTCTTATTAATATTTTAATTCAAAAAATTTTATAAGTTTTATAATATTATAAAGATTTTTTTAAGAATTCTCAATAATATTATGAAATAGATAATCTAATTATTTTTATTAAGTATTAAAATTTATTTTTTTATTCAAGATTAATTTAACTTTATACTCTTTTTTTTCAGTTCTAAATATAATAATAGTTTATAATAATATTAAATAAATAAATTTTTTATTATTATTAAAATTATATGATTTTAATAATAAAATATAAAGGATAAAATATATTTTTATATATAATAATATAATAATAAATCTAATTTATATATAATAGATAGTATTAATAATAATAAAGAGTCTAATATATTTTGATATAAGCTTTTTACTAGAATATTATTTATAAGATTAATTATATTACAAATTAAAAGTAAAACTTGATTTTTGATATTAAATTTCTGGTAATAATAATATTAGTTAGCATCTTTAGTTTAATAATTCTAAGCTTTTATTAGTAAATTTTTAATATTTTTTATTATATTATATTAATATTAAATAAATTTATCAATAATAATAACTTTATTATCTGAAATAAATATTAAAAATATAATAAAATATTAAATATAATCTAATTTAAAAGATATATATTCTGATAAAGCTTATATAGAATTATTATAAATATTATAAATGAATTTAATAGTAGTAAAATATTCATTTTAATTTTAATTATATAAAGTATATATAATATTTCTTCCAAAGTATAATTTATTCTTTCTATTTAATTATTAGTTTATAAATAAAATATAATAAATATAACTAACTTAATATTAATTTATTCAAAAAAAAACTTTTAGAAATAATTAATAAATTTGATATTATAATTTATAATATAAGATAATTTATATAATTTGAAAATATTATAATTTAATAACTTCAAGAATAATAATAGTGATATATATAAAAATAAGTATATTTAATAAAATAATTGTTAATAATAAGCATTATATTATAATCTTAACAAGTAATTAATAATTATATAATAAAATTTATAGTAATTTATTCCTAGTATTATTCAGATATTTCAAGAATTATAAAAGTTCTGAGAGTGATTAATTATTATTTATAAGTTTTATCAAAATATCATATATAAAATTATTTTGTTAATAGTTATAAACAAGATAAAATATGATATAAAGATTGATTCATTACAAATCAGCTCTTTTATAATCCTGAGCTACTTCACAAATAAGCCTATTAAAAGTTTTTATGACAATCATAAGTTTTTTATAATATTTCTATTCATAATAGTATATACTGTATAATACTATTTGAATTCTATCTATAAGAATTTTATTAACAGTGAACTATATGATGGTTTGTATTTTCTATCTCTGAATAAGGATAAATTGTTGCAATATTATTTACCTTTTATATAAGATTAATTTAATATTAAATTTATTAATTAATCATATTCAAAATATATTTTACATGTAATTCTAAATTCTAATATGTCTTTTTAATTCATTATACTGTATTTAGCATTCAAAAATATATTTATTCTAAATTTTAATATGTTTTAACCAAAATTTTTTACCTATTAATAAATTAAAAAAATTAAAGATGACAAATACCCAATAAAGCTTCAAGGTGGATTTTCGTATAAAGATATACTCGTATTTTCCATGGCTGCTTGTTGAAGAAGTAGTGTAGGATCTCGAGTAAACTTCAGTTGCTGAACCGTAATAATTTTAGTCGGATTCCTTCATTGTATATGATTAGTACTTTTCACTTTGGGGGTTGTCTGTGGCTGTCTTGTTTCTTTCGCTGAAGTGGAATTTATCGTGTTTGGAATTGATGTATGTGAGTTTGTTGATATCGGCGAGTATGTGATCTTGGTGAATGATTGTTTTGTTGGTTGAGAAATTGATAATGACAGCACAGCTGTTGATTTT